TTGTATAATGTGTAAGAAACTTTCATTCATCATGTCTCGTTAAGTTTCGATAAACTACATAAATCAAGCTGACCTCACATATCCGAACTCATATTATTATGAGCTTAATGCATATAATCAACTGTATTTAATGACCTCGGATGTCGGATGCCAACAATTCATAACATTGAAAAACTTTCGATTATGTTTATTTTAATTTCTCAACTAAATATATAATAGTAGTACAGTATGCACAATATTCATTTATACTTTAGGTTACGGAGGGATTATGATTACCTCTGAACTAACAATTTATGTTAATCTTAATAATGATTACCTTAAATAACAGTGTTTTCTTAAAAACAAACATGGATAAGCCAAAATAGTGTTTGGTGGTAATTAAAGAGAAGCATGGGGCTTATGAAGTGATATGCCGGTGCATGTGTGAGCAGGAGAGTTTTACACTTCAAAAGTCTTATAATTTGACTTCCTAATTCTCATTCATTACATTTTTGAACAACTGTATTAGGCAGAGACATTTGATATGACTTTTGAAAAGTTAAAAATTATTTTTTAAGAGTAAAAAGTTGATTTAAATATATTTGGATAATTCCTTGAACGTGTTTTGTCAAAATACTTTTTAAAGAAAATAATTTAAAAATATCTTCACTAACGCTACTCAAACAGGGCTGAGGACAGTGAAATCAAACAGGGGCTGAGGTGGATGTACATCCGCCCTTGATTTGAATTGAGCAGCAGATTTCAAATATCGTTATCATGAAACTTTTTTTATGAAAAGTAAAAGTAAAAATAAAAGCTCACCCAAATGAATTCATAAATTGAAATAGGAGGACGGGTCATAAGCCATGACATGAGCAATAAGGGTCAACTCGTCATTTTCATAAAACAGATCATTCCTGTGTTGCAAGAAGACGAAAGTAAAATCCAAAGAGTGGATGGCTCTGACCTAATTATCTTTTTGAACAGAAATTAAAAAATTGACCATGGTGGCAAAAAATGAAAAATAGAATATATATATATAT